GCTTGTTTGTATAGCGGGTGAGTGCGCCCATAACCCCCCAGGCCGACATGCCTGTAACCCTTCCCTAGGATCATCGGGGATCCCCAGTGGACCTCTGACACCCCCCCGCACTGGGATGCCCGAGGTGCACACACCGGGAATCGAACCCGAGACCTTCGCTCTGATACCATGTCAGAATCTCAGCCACTAACCACTGGGATAAAAGGGCTTGTTTGTGTAGCGGATGAGTGCGCCCATAACCCCCCAGGCCGACATGCCTGTAACCCTTCCCTAGGATCATCGGGGATCCCCAGTGGACCTCTGACAGTCAGACCTCCTTTGGGATTGGTTGAGAAGTCGTGTTTACGAAAAACTGTGGTGAAGCTTGTTCACAGAGGTGGGGTTGCTGTTGCAAAGCTGGGAGGGGTTTAAATAATGAAACTTAGAATGGGCATGCCGTAGTTGCGAGTTTCGCCACCCCCCTGTTGCGAAATTCGCTGGGAAAGCGCACCCTGGGGGGGGGGGGCGCGTCAACTCCCATCATCCAAACCAGAGCCGGTGACGCCCCTTATTGAAGTTTCCACATTCTTTTACATTGCCCCATGGGAACAAGAGAACGAGGGGAGGTGGAGACCTGACAGTGAACCGGACGGAACCGCCGGACACGGGAGAACAGTGGAGGAACGTGCAAGAACCGGGCCCCCAGAGGGGTCAGCCAGTGAGACTGCAACGGGTCTAGGGAGTGGTGTGACTGTGGTACTGTCGCGAAAGAAGCAGCGAGAAGCACCTGAGTCAAGCGTGAAAGTGTGCAAGGCCTCAGCAGGCGCTGTACCAGAGAGAACAGACTCACTAGCACCTAGAGCAGCAGCCTCTATACCTGGGTCGGGCGGCACACACAGGTAACAGTCATTGTCGGTACTTACAGTCAAAGCAGACATGGCAGTAAGGATAACGTCAAAGTCTAGAACAAATATATCCACCCTGCGTCGAACAAGCTCTAGCCAGTGGGGGAGCTCAGCCTCGTCGCCAAACTCTGCGCGCCAGGCGTCGCTCAGATAGGCGAAGCAGCGGGACTGTGTGTGGCCAATTGTCCCACAAGTCTGCCCAGCCCGAGCACCTTTGCAACTGACGTACGGGCAGCGAGCAGTACTCCGAGACGCGCCTCGCTGAACGTACCACTCACGAAGCTGCTGGGACGTAAGGGTCTCGCGCGGACGCCGCTGCAGCTGCACCAGGCCACCGCGAGGAACTCCCAACCAAACAGCTCCACCGCGACCGCCACTACGGCTGCTGCCACCACTCTCACTGCTGCTATCACCGCCGTCACCAAGCCCACTGCTACCACGAAGAGAAGTTATAGCGGGCAAACCTCGGAGGCGTGCGACCAGCAGGGCAGCACTCAGAGAAAGCAGGGCGGCGAGCTGGTACTAGGGTAACGTGTAGGGTAGGGCAGGGTGGCGTACGGCTACGGAAGGGCGGTGTGCAGGGCAGGGTAGAGACAGCGCAAGGGCTGCAGAGGTCGGGCGCGGGCTGCAAGGGCGGCGCGCGGGGCAGGGCAAGGGTAGCGCGAGGGCTGCGGAGGCTGCGTGCGGGGCAGCAAGGGCGGCGCGCAGGCGGCTGGGGCTCGCGCGGGGCTGCAAGCGGCAGTGCGCAGGCTGCAGGGGGCCGCGCGCGAGGCAGTAGGAGCAGCGCGCGGGCTGCTGGGGCGGCGCGCGGGGCTATAAAGGGGCCGCGCGAGGGCGGGGAAGGTGGCGCGCGGGGCTGCAGGGGCCGCGCGCGGGGCAGGGGACGCAGCGCGCGGGCTGCTTAGGCGGCGCGCGGGGCTGGAAGGGGCCGCGCGAGGGCGGCGATGTCAGAGGTCCACTGGGGATCCCCGATGATCCTAGGGAAGGGTTACAGGCACGTCGGCCTGGGGGGTTATGGGCGCACTCACCCGCTATATAAACAAGCCCTTTTATCCCAGTGGTTAGTGACTGGGATTCTGACATGGTATCAGAGCGAAGGTCTCGGGTTCGAATCCCGGTGTGTGCACCTCGGGCATCCCAGTGCGGGGGGGTGTCAGAGGTCCACTGGGGATCCCCGATGATCCTAGGGAAGGGTTACAGGCACGTCGGCCTGGGGGGTTATGGGCGCACTCACCCGCTATATAAATAAGCCCTTTTATCCCAGTGGTTAGTGACTGGGATTCTGACAGGCGAAGGCGGCGCGCAGGCTGCAGGGGCCGCGCGCGGGGCAGGGCACGCAGCGCGCGGGCTGCTTAGGCGGCGCGCGGGGCTGCAAGGGGCCGCGCGAGGGCGGCGAAGGTGGCGCGCGGGGCAGCAGAGGCGGCGCGCGGGCTGCAGAAAGGCGACGCGCGGGCTGCAAAGGCGGCGCGCGCGGGACTGGAAAGGCGGCGCGCTAGCTGCAGAGGCGGCGCGCTCGGACGGTACAGGACAGGTCAGGGCGTGGGGTAGCACGGTGGGCCCGAAAAAAACGGTCCTACGGACCTACTGCTCTGAAACCATGTCAGAATCCCAGCCACTAACCACTGGGATAAAAGGGCTTGTTTGTGTAGCGGGTGAGTGCGCCCATAACCCCCCAGGCCGACGTGCTTGTAACCCTTCCCTAGGATCAATCGGGGATCACCAGTGGACCTCTGACACCCCCCCCGCACTGGGATGCCCGAGGTGCACACACCGGGATTCGAACCCGAGACCTTTGCTCTGATACCATGTTGAGACTACTAGGCAAGAATGAATGAACTAGGAAGGGTTCGGATACAAATACAAGCCCTAGAATGTGTTGTACCCTATGTAAGCTACCCCACAACAGCCTACAACCAACAACAACCATTATAGTTTGGCAACTAGTCAATCTGATAGAACCTTTACGGATGGTTTTGAGAGTACATCTACCATATTCATTGGCACATCTATCACCTTTCAGACATGATGTGACGTTCATAAAAAATGTTTAGTCAAATAAACTTCTGGCTTTCAGTATTAATCCACATCGTGTTAAAATCATTTCCTAGGGATAACAATGAAAAGCATTGACTTTTGGGAAATAAGAAATAGGACAGTTATATAGATGTAATGGCGGCTTATTTCTACTATGGTTTAAGGGTACACACAATACATCTGAAGGAAACGTTGTGAATTGTCATGATCACACAATGTTCGTGTTTGTCACATCCCATTGTTCTTGATATTTCTGAACACGTGGCAAAGCAATATTGGAACAAAACAGATTTTGGCGCTTTTGCGTCGAGGCGCACTTCGCGAATCGCGGTCTTCGTTTGTGTCGCCCTCCACTTGCTCGTGCTCTGGGTGTTGAACAAATTTCTCGAAACGGCACAACATGCAGGGCGGGATTTGTCCACCCGCTCGCCCAAATCCATTGGCTTGCTTACCCGTTTTCCCAAACAGAGGGACCTAGCGCATCAAACCGCATCTTCAGTACGCGTAACGCACTGAGCCGATGTGAAACGATTCAGATTCAGCTTCCGTTATCCCTCCACGCACCGCGCTGCAAGGGAGCTTGGCAATCAACAGGAAGCAAAACCGAACCTTCTGGCTGCTCCCCTGCGCCCAAACCACATGGGGGAGGCTTCACTTCACATCACAGAACGAAGTCTTGTTTCTGCTTTGGTAATGCACGCGCACGACACTACTTGCAGCCTCCTGTGTCGTCGTCTCCCGTACTCTCGTCTTTCGCACAACCACCTTCCGAAAGAATACAGCAAATGCTAACTACGTAGCGATTATAAGGGAAGGACGACGGTCCAGTGACTTCCGGCCGACACGCGAACAGTGTCGCTTTTCGCCGTCGTGCGACTCGTAAAAGTGATACTGTACACACACATATCGCACCAACAGGACCTCTCCGACTTAGCATCGACGGTCTGGAAAAGACGGCCGCCTTTCTTCCTCCAGAGTGTGTTTCCAGCCATGTTCCCGTCAACCTTACTACTACCGCCCATCTGTAAACGCAATAGCACGCAGTACTGACGCCACAATAACCCCACTGGCAGGGTCAGTCGGCCGTTTCAATAGCCTCGGACTTCTCCAGGAGCCAGCCAGCAATCTTCACTCAACATAGTCTCCTTCCTGTCACATTGGCAGAAGACGGGCTCTTTTTTTTACAGCCTGGAAGACCCAATTCGCCCTGTATGAATCTGTTAGTTTAAGTGCGTAGTCCTAGTCCCTACCACTTCGACTGATAGGGTTTCTGGGTGAAGCTCGATTCGCAGGAGACGGTTCCACCATAAGACCCATATTACGCCTGAATTACGCAATACTTTCCCGTGAAAACAAGTCCCCTTGCCATCCATGGCTTTCCTATGCTTCTTGGTGGCAGAGAGTCCTTTCCATCCATGGCGTTCCTCCCAGCGCAACTCTCTAAAGAAATCTCAAATGTTGCATCTCTCGGCATCGTAGACATCTACTCGCGTGACTGCTGCGCCTCATCACTCGCGCGCTTTCTCCTTAACCCTGTCCGCACAAATTTTCGAACTCGATATCTTTTGTGGAGCTCAGCCCAAGTGACATCTCGCGCCGCAATCCCAGTGAATGCGGCTTATGTGATGCCACTCCTTCTCTGATGTCTCTCCGTGCCGCCGCGACATGAAATGGCTGCGCCTGACGCCACGGCAGAAAGGCGGCGAGCCGGCTCGACCAGTCAACCAAGTCAACCCGCTGGACCCGTTCAATGCGGTCAATCTGGTCAACCCAGTCGAAGGAGCCAAAGCCGCAGGGAAGAATGTGACTGTCAGGCCGTGGACGAAGTACCTTCGCGTGATAAAAACGTCTGTGACAAAAACGAGCTCAGCAAAACCGTACAGCCAGGTCAGCAAGATACATCATTTCACGTGTTCGGGGACATCATCCACGTCAGTGCTCAAGCCGCTCGCTCCCTGCCCGTGGAGCCAGCCGTGGATGATGGATCCACCATACGCTGCCACGTGTACGATTTACTCCGCGAAGCCCGCCGCCAATGTAGGGCTGGCGGCGCCGAATGCGGCGACATTCACGGCGTGGAATATGGCAGCGTCGGCTCTCTTTCCGGATGTTGCGGAAACGGCCAGTGCGCGTGGAACGGCGGCAGCGCCGGAAGTGGCGGTGGGTGCGGAAGTGGAGTCTGCTGGCGGGATGACTGGCGGGAAAGGGAGAAAGGACAGCCGAGCTTGGAGGCTCGGTTCAGGCTCGGAAAGGAGCTGGGGCGAGGCCATTTCGGAGTGGTGCGGCTCTGCGAAGACAAGCGAACAGGGGAGAAGTTCGCATGCAAGACCGTTCTCAAGTCGCAAATAGCAGTGCGTTTTGGTTCTGTTGTTTTCTACTGTCATTTAGTCACCGGGGGGCTGGTGAAGCCATTCAATCGCGCTTGGTGGCTTTTTTAATCTTCTTCTCTTTTTCTTCCCCCATTTCGTTCTATTACCTTTTCCGTTTCCACCCCGCTTTTATCTCTCCGTATTCCCTGTTCAACAGACTTCCGAGGCCATGCGCGAGTTACGCGCGGAGGTGCTGATTCCGCTGCTGTTGCAAGCAGCGCAGAGGAAAAAGCAGGCGCAAGCAGCACGCGGGGAAGGAGATGAAGCAAAGCAGGCGGGGAAACAAGAGGCGGAAGCAGCGCGCAGCAAAGGCTGGGACGTTACTGCGCGCGGGGAACGAACAGGGGAAGCAGCGAGCAAAGAGGAGGGGGAGCGGCGGAACGATAGAGTGGGGGGACATGCGGAGAAGCAAGGGGAGAATTACGGACGCGGTGTGTCAGCAGCACGGTGTTTGAAATTTGTGCGGATAACGGACGTGACTGAAGCGGATCACAGCACCGCGAACCATAATCGCGACAACGACAGGGATAATTGCGAAGCTGGGTGTGCAAACAGTAGTGCACGAGTTGACAGTACAAATGGGAAAAGCAAATATAATAAAGCAGGCAAGAATGATACTTACAGGAATGAGCATGGAATTGGGTTTGTGCGGATGGTGGATGTTTTCGAGGACGAATCTGCAGTGCACATGGTGATGGAGCACTGTGAGGGGGGAGATCTGTTTGAACACGTGGCGCAACATGAGAGGCTCGACGAACGACAAACTGCCGCCATAATGAGGTGTGTCGTTGGCCTTGACAGAAACGTTTTTTAAGCCGATTTCAGTGCCTCTACCCCTCCCCATCCCTTCCAGAATCACTCTCTCCTTCCGCTCTTCCTTTTGCTCCTCTCTCCAACCTCCATCTCCCGGGCCCGGGCCGCTTGTTCCTGCCTTCCTCCTTTCCTGTCCTTCCCCTCACCTCCCTTGGACTAGTACTCTTGGCTGGCCTTCGTTTCCTTGACATTACAGCCCTGTGACCACCTCCCACTTACCTTATATGCTCCACCAACACACAACAATATCAGTGAATCCCTTCTGCCCTCCCCACTCCCCTTCCTCTTCCCCTTCTTTCCCCATCCCCCCCCCATCTCCTACATTCCTGCATACCCCTTCCATCCCCTCTTACATTCTTGTATGTCCCGTCTCCCAGGCAACTTGCAACAGCTGTGACAAAGATGCACGAGATGGGAGTAGTGCACCGAGATTTGAAGCCCGAAAACATCCTCCTTACAAGCAGATCCCGTACCGTGGACAGCAGCAGCAACCTCCCCACCACGCAATACTGCCACACGGACTCTGGTAGTACTTCACCTGCTGGCCTGTCCCCATCCTCGTTATCAGCAGCCTCGTTGACAGTCAAGATCGCTGATTATGGGTTAGCAAGAGTGTTAAAACGAGGATGCAGGCTGCATGGGTTGGTGGGAAGCCCTTTCTACATGGCTCCTGAGACTGTCAGAGGGAGGGAGTATGGTCCTGAGGTGGATGTGTGGAGTTTAGGTGTGATAATGTACACTTGCCTTTCTGGTACACTACCATTTTTTGGTAAAAACCAGAATGCTGTATTTGCTGCAGTTTGCAGGGGAGAGGTGGATTTGGAGACGGGCAGTCACTGGCCGTTGATCTCGCATGAGGCGAAGGATCTCATCCGTCGAATGCTGGATGTGGACCCCAATCAACGGATTGGATCGAGCCGTATCGTGCATCATCCATGGTTCAAACGGGCGGGAGGAGAACACGTGAAGGAGCAGCATCAGCATCAGCATCAGCAGCAGCAACATATTCCGCATCCTTTATACCAGAGGCAGCACCGGGAGCGGGAGGATGTGAATCATAAAGCGCTTCAGCAGCATCATCACCACCGCCATCAGCACCCCCACCATCACCATCACCAGCAGCAGCCACATTTTTACAAGCACCAACCCGAGAAGCACCCTCACCGGCATCAGCAGCAACATCTCCACCACCAGCCGCACCACCAACACCACCATCACGACCATCAGCAACAGCACCAGCAGCAGCAGCAGCAGCGCAACAAGGGGATAGCCGCACAACCAAACTCCAGCTGCCACACTATGAGTAGTTCTGATGGTGTCAATAGCAGACAGTGCAGCAGCAGTGGAGGAAGTAGTGGAGAAGGTAGCAAGGGCGGTGGCAGACTTAGAGTAACCGCCAGCTTCGACAGAGAAGGCGGCAGCAGCAGCAGCAGCAGCAGCAACAGCAGCAGAGAAAGCACCAAAACTTCCACTATTCTGTCTACACCTCCTTCCTCGCCATCTCCCTTGCAATCACCGTCAAGTCCTGTAGCTTTCCTGTCAGACCCTTCAGGTGTTTCGTTTGAATCCCCTGGTGCGTTCCCGGGTCAGTGCTCGTTGACCGAGGTGAAGGCCAGCCAATCACAGCGCAGGGGCAGGTTTGTGATATTTTCTGCTCCGTCTTCCCCGGTTCCTGTGGCACGCTGCCTCAAGAATGTTGATGGTGCTGGTGGTGCAGCTCGGTTATCATTATCGTCAAAGGATGAGTCGATGGATAAAGCTATGGAGGATGGTGTTCTGGGGTGTAGTCCGAACTCTGTTCTTGAAGGAGTAGGAGGCCACCGGTAGTAGGTTGCGCAAACCTAGCTCATAGCTATGTCTTGTTGAAAAAGGAGTATTGTAGAATGTAAACTTCTAATTGATTCGGTAGAGTGTAATTGTTGCACGCTCAGTTGGAACTTTGCTCTTTGAGCTCGAATATCCTGAAGAAAGATGCGTTTGTTTTTTTGTCAAAAATAGGTGAAGGATACCTTATGTCGAGATTCTTAAACTTGTTCAGATATAGTGTCGCATTATTACGAACACCTACAATCGCGAATGAGCCCCCTTTCTTTTCTCCCTCCTCTCCATCCCCCTTGAGATTGCCGCCATCACCGCCTTCACTTTGCTTTCGCATACCCTTCCATATCCTTCCCTCCACTTTGCACTGGTCCTTAGAGCGTGTTACGTACCCCTTATTTTGGTGTTAGGCCCCGGTTGCCTCCAAAAGTCGACTCAACCTGACTGGTCAGGTCAACCGGGGCTGTCAACTTGGCCGGTTGGGTACCTAGCAGGCAACCTGCAAATGTACCACTCGCCTGCTTTTGGGACCCAACCGTGCCAACAGTATTTCGGGTAGACCCAACAGTCGCTGTTTCAATCTTAGTGGCCAAAATTTGATGAAATTTTGATTGCACCAGTCACATCAAGTCTCGCTAGTGCAACCTGCCCGCAATGTTTTCGTGCACCCTCTGTTTGCGCGGCGGTTAGGTACGTTCAACCCTGGTTGCCTCAATACGGTTGTACCTGGTCGAGACCAGTCGGTTGCCCGACTACGTGGTTGCCTCGACCAGCTGCCAGACGGGTATGGTACGCACGTACATTACTGTACACTGTAGAGCGTAGGGTTATTGGCCTGGTAACCCTACGTTCAACCCAACCGGCATGTTTGAGGCAACCGCGACCGGGCCCCAAAATAAGGGGTACGTAACACGCTCTTAATTTCTCGCACCGCGCAGCCATACTTGACTTTCCAAAGCCGGAAGCCCAAAGCCTACTTCGGAATAAGCAGGCGAATTCCATGGCGTCCGCTGCGCCGGCTGCCGCGGAGGAATCTGCATCGAAAGCGGCGGAGGAAGTCTGTCAGAATTCAACGGCTAAGAGTGATTGGGAGGTGGCGCCGTGGGATCGACACGCGGGGGTGCTGAAGATGGCGCGATTTGACTACCGGCGGGAGGAGCTGCTGAGATCCGGAAATGGCGGCGGGATTCAAGGGTTTCTGATCTCTTGCGCTTTCTGTACGTACTTGACCAGCCTGTGATTTATTTTGATTATTATCATTATTTATTTATTTTATGGATGGTGGTGGGGGGGTGGGTGAGAGGGTTAGGGGGGACTACGCTCGAAAAAAACTCTGGCGGATTATTTCTTCCACCTTTCTTGGATGCTCATACGGTCCTTGCACCAATCCAGAATTCTGCATACCTTGGTGCTTGTTGATGAGCCAATCTAGCGTTTCTCAGATGGAGATTATTTTCTCTCTCCATGGTCATGTGCCTGATGCATGTATGCCTGCATTGCATGCTGGCGTGTGTCTGCTGCATGCCTGGCGTGCTGGGCGTGTGTTCAGGCCGAGAGAAGAGTGCCACGTCAGAAGCCCTTTCCATCCTCCCTAAGGTATTCTTCTGTAAGGGTCCCTGAAAGGTGTCCTTGCTGCATTTCACTGCATCAATTGTTCAGATCCACGCATTCTTATCTAGTCTAGCTATCTCTCGATCTGTGCTGCACTGAAAATTCGCCTGCTGTTCTATTCTACCTGCTGTGTTGTACCGCCTGTGCGGCTCTCCCCTCAGCTCGTTCAATTTCCTTTGACCCTGCTACGGTCACTCCTTCCCCTCTTCACCCTTTTCTCATCCTTTCCACCGTGCCAGTACCTGCTTTCAGTGTGTGCATTTCACTCCCTCTTTCCCTTCTCCCCACCCTCCCCTCGTTCCCCCTCCCCCGCGCCAGTACCTGCCTGCAGTGTGTGCGAGTGTGAATATGACTGAAGAGCCCCCCTCCTTTCCCCTGTCTCTCTCTCTCTCCCGCTAACCATCTCAACCTCCCCCCTCTCTCCGCGCCAGTACCTGCCTGCAGTGTGTGCGAGTGTGACTGTGACTGAAGAGCCTCCCCCTTTCCCTTCCCCCCCCCCCCCCCCCCCCCCCCCCCGGTTCCTCTCCCCGTCCCTCCCCCGCTGTACCCCCCAAATCCCCCTTCCCCGCGCCAGTACCTGCCTGCAGTGTGTGCGAGTGTGACTGGAGGGGAAGAACTAGTGGCAGCGGAGGAGAGGAAAAGGGGAGCTGATTTGGTTGAGGGGCTTGACGGGAGTGCTTCGGCCAAGCGACAGAGAGTAGAGAAGGGGGAAGAGAAGGGGGAAGAGAAGGGGGAAGAGAAGGGGGAAGAGAAGGGGGAAGAGAAGGGGGAAGAGAAGGGGAAAGAGAAGGGGGAAGAGAAGGGGGAAGAGAAGGGGGAAGAGAAGGGGGAAGAGAAGGGGGAAGGAAGAGAAGGGGGAAGAGAAGGGGGAAGAGGAGGGGGAACGGGGAGAAGATGAGGGGGAAGCGGAGGGTGGTAAGGAGAGGGGAGTGGATGGGGGAGAGGAGGGGGAAGAGGACGGTGGAGCGAAAGGGGTAGGTAACACAGAGGGGAGCACAGTGAAAGAGGAGGAGGATGGTGTGAAGAAACCTACTAAGGCACAGGAGGGTGGTGTCATGAAGGTTAGCAAGGCAGAGCAGGATGCGAGTGCAGCAGAAGACGCCCTTAAAGCTGGGCTAGGGGCGGTCAAGCTGGGCAGCATGGGAATAACTTTTTTTGGCACTGCCCGAGAAGGAAAAATGTGTGCCAGGAAGCGAGGTGCCGTGCCCTGTGGATGTTGTTGGGCAGATTCTGAAGGACATCAACGAAAAGAAGAGGAGCGGCCTCAAGTGAGTGTTGTGACCATTCCACCCCTCTCCACACCACTCCATCGCACTCCATCCCCCATGTACTTGTCCCCCTGCCTCTCCTTGCTCCTGAGCTCTGACGTGCTGCAAAGTAGCGCTTCAGATTCTTAAGGACATCAACGAAAAGTAGAGGAGCGGCCTCAAGTGAGTGTCCACTCCACTCCACTCCACTCCACTCCACTCCACTCCACTCCACTCCACTCCACTCCACTCCACTCTCGTTCCCCTCCGGACTTCCCATGTGGTGATTTTGCTTAGACCCTAAACCCCTCGTCCTACTGTACTTGTCCTACTCTCTCATCATCCTGTCCCACAATCACTCAACCGCCCCCGCATCCACTCTTCCTTTCCCCTCTCCTCAACCCCCTCAACCCCCACATCCCCCCCTCCTTCGTTGCTCCAATCAGATGGTGCCAGCGCATTTCCCCTGTGCAGGCATGCACTGGTGAAGACTGACATACTTATCTGCCTTCAATTCCTCCCACTCCCGTTCTTCCCTCTCGCATACCTGTCCCCTCCCCATTGCCCTCCCCACCCCTTGTTTCTCCAATCAGGTGCTGCCAGCGCATCTGCCCTGTGCGGACATGCCTATCTGCCTCCTCCCACTCGTTGGCTTCCTTTTAGATTTCCTGTCCCCACTGCCCTCCCCCCTCCCCCCCTCCTCTATTGCTCCAATCAGGTGGTGCCAGCGCATCTGCCCTGTGCAGGCCACGTGCCCAACCTCAAAGCGCCACCTGTCGGCCACCGTGAAGCGACTGCTGGCCAATCACTTTGCAGCAGCCTCACCAGCAACAACAGCAGCATCATCACCACCACCGCCAGCAGCAGCAGCAGCAGCAGCAGCAGCAAAAACAGGAACAGAAGCAGCAGAAGGGGCAGCAGCAGGAGAAGCAGCAGCAGCAGAAGTTGGAGTGGAGGAGCCACGCCTGAGTGGTTCTGAGACAGCAACAGAGCCTGTAGCAGCAGCAGGGGTCCTGGCAGCAGCAGAATCCCCAGCAGCAGCACAGCAGTGTCTACCTCCTGTGCAGGTATTGTTTCAGACCTGGCTGACAACATTTTCAAAGAATGGTTGATTTGGCCATTTTGTTTAGCTGACCCAAACGAAGAATCTGCTGTGTGGGCCCACTCTGACAGTGAGCCAACTCTTTTGGGCGTGCTATGCGAGCTTGCACCGTCCTTCCCCTCAGTTTGCAGTGGCGTTCAAGAGACAAGGAGCAGAGGATTCAGGCTCTGCAGGTAGGGAGAGAAGCAGCAAGGAACAAGGATAGGGGTCTCACCACGCTTCTGTCTGCCCTTCCCACCCCCCCAGTTTGCAGTGGCGTTCAAGAAACGAGGAGCAGAGGATTCAGGCTCTGCAGCCAAAGAAACAGCCAAGAAAGAAAAGGAGAAAGCAGAGAGACAAGGAGAAGGAAATGGGGGAGACAAGGAGGAGAGAGGGGAGGGGGAGGAGGATGTTGAGTTGAGTCGTGATGTTGTGATTAGGACTGTGGCTGATGCTGTGAAGGAAGCTTCTGGGAAGCGAGGTGCTGCGGCTAACCTGACTAACCCAGAGGTGAGACATCTTCTGTCATTAATGGAGTGTTGGTTATCAGCTGTAATGTCTTGATTAACTGAGTTTCTTTATCTGGGGCAGTCCTTTTCCAGCTTAAATGTGATTTTACACGCCCTGATCTCGTTATCAATGCATATTTATGCTTCCTTGCCTGTCTGCCATGAATACTTGCTATGGGTTGCTTATGCTATCTAACCAGGGCACACCCCTTGCCAATCTTTTTTGTTGGTTTATTTTTGTACCTTTCTGTTTTTGTCCACAGTTTGCAGTGGTAGTTGAGATTATTCCCCTTGCGCGAGGCCCTCCTTTCTGTGCTGTCTCCATTCTTCCGCGTTCGATGCTCGATACAAAGCCGCGATTGGCGGTGAAAACAGTCACAGCTAGCACGACAGGTGGAGCCGAGAATGCCAGGGGTAATACAGAGACGAAGAAAATTAATATAGAGAGCATTGAGAAGGCTTTAAAAGGAAAGAAGGGTAAAGGAGGCCGGCGCCAGGGAAAGAGGAGGCGGGGCTGACATGGCTGTTGTCATTAATGTTGACCAATTGTTTAGTTCTGCCACTACTGTTCTTCTCTTGTAAGGAATAGAAGGATTTCGGGGATCAGTGTGTCTATAACGGGAACATTGGGCTGTCGAGACTTCGTTCTCAGTTGTGCCGCACGTTTGGCCCCGTTCAGGTGATTGCTTCCTCTCAGCTGATTGGTTAATGGCCTCCTAGCAGTCCACTTCACCATGATCAATCCACGTCTCCTCTCTGCCGCCAATCAAATTAGCTTTTCGCAAGCGTTTCGGATGATTCTGTCAGTCTGCCCATCCTCGAAGCGCGGATGCTGTACAGAACGCAAAACGCCCTCCGTGATCCAATGTGCTGGATGAAGTCAGGTGATGATGATCTAACGGGTCACATTCATCGAAGGTCCCCATTTGAGCTCTGCACTTCCATCCGTCCGTCGATGTGACTCAACACAGCTCGTGCTTTGTCGAGATTGCGCGCCTTGCGACGGGATTGGTTGGATGGGGCGGGCTTGTTCTACAGTACAATGCTTTACCCTTTTCCTTCCGCTGCTTTCTCATACTTGCAAGACTTCGAACGTGATTTGCGAAAGGTGTATAGAGCTGCGAGAGCAGTTCCGGCGAAAGTCGTGACGGGAAGTCTGGTTTCGAGGGCATCTGTAACCGGCACAGATGTAACGAAAACTCTTCGTCAAACAGTTGTCTTACTCATGTTCCGACCCTCGGCACTTTCTTTCCTCCCTTTCTCCTTCACTCAACCACTTCCCAGTTATCCCCCTCAGACGTCCTCATCGCACGGCTTGCTCGCGTTTCTAAACATATTTAGTAGTCTCGGGTGCTGAGCATTCCAAAACCGTGCATCCTCAGTATTTAGTCGGCTCTCAAGAGGCACCCGGCAGGATGAAAGCCAGACAGCGGGACATTTATGAAAAAATGGAGACTGTAAAGCGAGGTGACTTGTGAGGGGTTCCAAAAGTCAGCCGGAGAAATTTGGACAGTCTGATAAAGTGGCGAACTGACGGCGCTCTTTAGCGAGAAATGGAGCCTCAAACGTCGCAGATACCTTCGTGGGTCCGCCAAGGCGCGCGCAATCCCCGCTCGCCGACGCACGCGCAGAACCGCGGGAGGTTCGGCGCAAGCCCCCGCCACCACCTGCGCAGGCGCGGGGGAGGCGCGGCAACCCCTAGGTTCTTTAACAGCCCCCAAAGCGCCGCGGTTGACGGAAGCTCTAAGAGTCATGCCGGCAGCGCAAGCGGCAGCACTAGCAGTAGCAGCAGTAGTAGCAGTAACAGCGGGACTTACGCCGCACCCCACGGGCCCTTAGCCCAACCCAACCACCAACAACCACGTCAGCAGCCAGAATATCCACGTCAGCATCACCTCCGCCATCATTACGTGCCGCCAGTCGAGACGCCCTCCCACCGCGCGGCTCGTGCGGCCGCCTGGGCGGCAAGGGATCGCAGCAGAGCGAGGCCACGTCAGCAGGGGGAAAGGCGGGTTTCTGCGGAGCGGGGGGATTGGGGACGGGGAAATGGCGCGCAGCGCCGAGAGCAGATCGGCGGAAGCTCCGCGGGGCTTCCCCGGGGGCTTTCTGCGGGCCACTCCGCTTCCGCTGCTTCGTCCAAAGGCGCAGGTGGCGCAGGTGGCGCAGCTGGCGCAGTTGGCGCAGGTGGCGCAGTTTCTCAAAGTTCCGCCGCATTAGATGCGCAAGATAAGGCTCGGGTCGAAGCTGAGGTTCGGCAGATTGTTCAGCATGCCGAGGCGAAGGCTCGGCAGCAGCAGCAGCAGCAGCAGCAGAAGCAATTGTTGCCACGTCAGCAACTGCAGTTGGGACGGAACGAACAGCGCAATGCGACGTGGATCTTCCCAGGTCACGGCACCGCGCCTCGGGCCATTTCCCGTCAAAACGCCGCCGCGCTTTCCCGCGGGCTGCACAACGGATTGCAGCAGCGATTCCGCCAGCTTTCCCCGTTCCCCCTCGCGACCCGCTTCCGCGACCCGTTCGAAGCGCTGAAGCGCAGCGTTCTCGAGGCGCCTTTGGAGGCGCAAAAGGCTGTGCGAGCCGCCGTGAAACGCGGGGAGGAGAGGGTCAACTCGGCGCGCTTAGGGGCAGTGATGATGGTGCTAGGGTTGTGGGAGGTGGCTCGGAACAAGGTGGCACAGGCTCGGCAGCGGCAGCAGGTTCGGAGCCAGGTTCGGGTGTGGGGGCAGAGGCTCGGCAGGGAGGCGCCTGTTGCGGCGAAATGGGCGATGACGAGCGGATGGGGGGAAACGGGGGACGCGGGAGGGGGCGGAGAGGGGGGAGCGGGGGAAGGGATGGGGGAACGAGTTTGGGGAGGAGGGAGAGGCGAGTCTTTCTGGGGAGGTAACGGGGAGGCATTGGGTAGACCTACCCCGGATATACCTTCCCCTGACGCGTTTGGCCTCGGCGTTGTAAGGGGGCTCTTGGGAAGTGGTGTTTTGGGATGGCCACGTCAGCAAGACGAAGCAGCGTACAGTGAGGAAGCTTATAAAGAGGATGGGGCTTGGCAGCAGCGGGAGGCGAGACTCCTGGGCCAGTCTCAGGCGCTCTGGCGTCAGGTGGCGTCTCTGTTGAACCCACCTGGCTCTGTTGCAGAAATACCTGAGCGGCTGGATCTCATGGTACCTGAAGCTCCCGCCGCTGATGGTCCCCATTTCCAGGGGAAGGGGAATATGAGCGCGGGTGCGCCCCACGCACAGGCGCATTCCCCCCTCCGCAACTCCCCCGCCCTTCCCCCCCGCTCCCCCCATCCCCCCCTTCCCCCCCCACCCCCCGCGCCCTGCTTGACCCCTGGGCGGCGCTGCAAATCGCGGAGGAACAGTTCGGGGCGCAGGTGGGCGGTAGGGCGGCTTCAGGAGGTTTCAACAGAGGCAGCAGCGGCGGCAGCAGCAGCAAAATGAGCAGTAGTAACGGCAACAGCAGGGACATTAGCAACAGCAATAGCAGCAGAAACGGCAGCATCAGTAGCAAGAGCAGTGGTGGTGGTGGTGTGACCAAAGCAGCAGCTACTGAAGCGGTTCAGGAGGAAGGGGAGGAGGAAGCTTCCGGGTTGGTGTCCGCCTTGCTGACTCAGGCTGTTCACTCCTTCTTGCGCTCCCAGGTCAGATCTCCAGCTCTTCAGGTCGGCTCTCTAGCTATCAGGTGAATTTTCAG